CAACATGGGGAGAAGCCAGCCACTTATAAAACTGGGAGTAACTTTAGATTGGTTTCTGCAAAGACAACAATTCTGCGGAGAGCAAGGTGTAACAAATAAACAGGACGTACAGCTTTCAGGCATGTTAAGAAGTTAAGAAGGCATATGTTTTCCCGTAGTTTAGTGCATTGATGGCCTCAGTCATATTTAGTCCATTTGATGTTAATTTGTTTGTTACAGAGAAGTCGTGAAACATGAAATCTTGTCATCAGATCATTTGAATCAAATCACTAGGAATTCAAATCTCCTTTACAATTTTTGGTACCTACAAGGATCACAACAGCGAACCATAGTGGGAAGCAAAACAAAACATCATCTGAGCATTTAATCTACTAAGGCTCCTTTGAATTGAATGTTTCAATAAAATACTCTCTCATTCTTCTAAACTTTTATTAGTATAGGCCCAATCTGCTCAACCCTTCAAATTAAAACAACCCCTAGATCCCAGGAATCAATGTAGTCAGTCTTCTCTGAAGGGCCGCTAATGTAAGTACATCCTTCCTTAAATAAGGAGACTAAAACTGTGTAGTAAGTCTGCATTTAAAGTTGCTCTATTGAACATAGTTTCCATTTAACTTTTTTAAGAGCCTGTTCCTCAATTAAGATTGCATTCCCCATTTCAACATTGGCTTTAATCCAATGTAATGCTGTCCCTTTCTACTTGTGTGCAGGTCGTTGGGAATGATGGCAATGTCAGACCGCGTTATTACATTGGCAAAGTCAGGCGACATGATTCAACTGGCACCACTGTGCCTGCACCTTGTAGTTGAGAAATGTGGCTTTTTAAAGTTATCTGTAAGCAAGAAGCCTGCCTCATTGACTCACCTTTCATCACTGAAGCTGCCTTTGATTGTGGGGTGCTTCTTCTACTGCACGCAGGTGAAGTGAAATTGTGTTCCTTATCACAGGGCTCACTTCGTGAAAAATGCTGTGTAGCACCTGTCTGTAAAAAGTGAGGCACAGGAGCCATTTCAAAGCCAGCAGTTGAGCAGGCAAGACAGAGTAGCCATTTTTAAGTCCATTAATCCACATTTACATTTGCATTTTCATCATGTACTCCCTTTGTTAAAAATTAATTCATGGGATGTGGGAGTCACTAGTTAAGACAGCATTGATTATCCATCCTTAATTGCCCTTGAGGTGGTCATAGAGGCTAGCAGCCTTCTTAGAACACTGCAATTTTATTGGGGGGAGGGCAGATACACATGCATTACCATTACAGAAGGCAGTCCAGGGTTTTGACCCAGTGACAGTGAAGGAATGGCCAATTCCAAGTTATGATATGTGGCTTGTAGGGGAACTTGCAGGTAATAACGTTTCAATGCATATACTGCCTTGACATTCTAGGTGGTAAAGGTTGGTCGCTTAGAAGTTGCTGTCAGAGGGATCTTGCTGAGTCACTATCATTCATTTTTCAGATGGTTCACACTGCTGCCATTGTGCATCAGCACTGAAGGGATTGAATGTTGGGGGTCAGTGAAGCAGTTTGCTCTGTAGAGGATGGTGGTCGCGCTTCTTGAGTGCTGTTCGAGCTGAATGCAGTCAGGCAAATGGACATTATTTCATAACACCCCTAACTTGTGTCTTTTACATAGTGGACATGCACTTGCTACATGTTCTGACCTGTTCTTACAGCCACAGCATTTATAGGGCTGGAGCAGCTCAGTTTCTGGTTAATGGTAACCTCCAGGGTGATGATAGTGGGGGAATTCAGCAATGACACCACTGAACATAATGGGAAGATGGTTAGATTCTCTTGCTACAGCCATTACCTGGCACTTGTGTAGCACACGTTACTTGTCATTTATCAGCCCGAGCCGGAATGTTGTCTCAGATTTTTGCTGCATGTAAACATAAGATGCTTCAATGTCTGAAGAGTTGTCAACGGTACTAAACATTGTGCAACCAGGTGAACGTTCAGGCTTCTGCCTTTATGATGGAAGGTCATTGATGGAACAGTTGAAGATAGTTGGAACCATGACACTGCCTTGGGAACTACTGCAGTGATGTTCTTGGACTGAGATCAATGACTTCAAAACAACCATAAGCACATTTCTCTGTGATAGCTATGACTCTAAACAGCAGAGTTTTCCCCTAATTCCAATTTTGCTTGGGCCCCTTGATGCCATACTTGATCAAATATTGCCTTGATGTTGGGGTAATTATCCTTCCTTCTGGAGTTCAGTTCTTTTGTTCACCTTGGTACCAAGGCCATAATGAGGTCAGGAGCTGTGTGGTCCTGGCACCATTCAAGCTGAACATCAGTGAACAAGTTACTTTTGAGTAAGAGCTACTTGATAGCCCTGTCAATGACTCTTCCATCACTTTATTAGTGATCAAGAATAGACTGAAGCGGAGATTGGGTTGAATTTGTGAACTGGATGTATCTGGACAGATAGATGTTCTTTTGGTAGGCAATTTTCCACTATGTCAGGTAGACATCAGTGTTGTAGGCATGCTGAAACAGCCTGGCCAAATACAGTGAGTTCTGGAAAACAGGTCTTCAGTACTATTGCCAGAAGGTTGTCTGGTTCATAGCCTTTAACCTACCCAGTGCCTTCAGCTATTTCTTGATATGTGGAGTGAATCAAATTGATTTAAACTGACAACTGTGATGCTGGTAACATCTGGAGGAGCCAGCTATTAATCATCTACTCTGCACTTT